ACTGGGACACATGCGCAAAGCACCAGAAGGAGCAGAACCCGTCACAGCATAGTATCCACCGCATCAGGGGTCTGAGAGACAAGCAATCAGCACGGAACTGAGGGTCACTAGTAATAACCTCAGTTTGACTCATCATAGAATAAAAACGACAGTCATCAATAGTAATCCAAAGCAGAGATATCCTACAGAGAAAGATCGTTATCGGCTCACCCAGGTACAGCAGAGCCCGCGCCTGAGAGCTACTCAATAAATACTCAATAATAGCTGAGATTTGCTAAGGAAATGAAATCCCGAACCAAGCAATCGGCAAGCTCAAGGGAACATCAACAAGCAGACATCACCACAGATTGAGAGAATTTAAGAAACTCTCAAGCCTTCAGAGAACATCGAGAGAGCATCAGCGCAGCAAGTCTTCAACTCAAAACCCGGGATTGCAGGGAGCAACTGGATTCAGAGGTAAGGTATCATTTTCTCTATTTATCAATTTGGCAAATGATCCATTGTTTCTTTCCCGAGGTACATCAACACCACCAGAGAAAATCATCAAAGAATTGATCATCCACTTCGAGGAGCCTATCATCAAAGTACTCGGATTGTATTAGAATCAATCGTTCGATACATTTCGATTTAAATCAAAGCAGTTTGAGTCAGCGACAGTCACCAAGAGAGTAGTAGCATCAGAAATTGCTCAACTGTTTGATCCATTGGGATTCATCGCTCCAATAATCACCCGAGGCAAGATAATTATTCAAGATCTATGGAGACCTAAGCTCACTTGGGACGAGCCACTTCCAGACGACTATGAAAACCAGTGCACAAGCTTCAGAGAGAACCTCCACAAGTTAGAGCAAGTCTCAGTGCCAAGGCAGCTGAGACTCTCATCGGAGATATGCAGCATCCAGATCCACGGGTTTGCAGATGCTTCAACAGCAGCAATGGGCGCAATGGTGTACATTCGCACCAAGCAGATCGACGAACCAGCATCGACAGTATTGTCCTGGCTTGGATCAAGAGCCACCCATCAAGATGGAAGGATTTCGTCCAAAATAGAGTCATCAAAATCCAGGAATCTCTTCCAAACGCTATTATGAGACACATCAGCGGTAAAGAAAACCCAGCTGACTGTGTATCCAGAGAACTCTCACCAAAGGAACTAACAGAACATCAGCTATGGTGGTCAGGTCCTGAATGGATAAATCAGGAACCTGAAAGCTGGCAGTCATCACCACCCGATACTCAGCAGAAGCATAAATAGAAGCGAGGCCATCTCTATCACATCAGACAACCATCAAAGTCAAAGCCTTGGTAGAACTTCTCAACAGATACTCAAGACTATCCAAGGTCCTCCAAGTAACAGCTACCCTGAACCGAGCAATTGATAGGTGTAGGAGACAGCCAGTTCCTCAAACGCCTGTCCTCACATCTAGAGAACTCAACGAAGCCAGACTGTTTCGGGTAAAAATAACACAATATCAATATATGCATCTGTTCATAGACTTCTCGAGAGAGACTATCAACTACCACGGAGTCATCCGTTAGCAAAGCTGACTCCAACGCTAGACAATGAGAGCATCATAAGGCTAGGTGGCCGCCTCAAGAATTCTCAATTAGCCCGTGACAAAATTCATCTAATTGTTCAGTCTCATCAGTCTCGTCTCACAACGATTGGTCATCGAAGAAGCTCACCAAAGAGCTCTCCACGGAGGGACTCAACTCATCCTAGCCTATACTCGCCAGAAGTATTGGATCATCGGTGGGAGAGGCACAGTGAGAGCATAAATCCTACGCTGTCCTATCTGCATTAGACACCGAAGAAGACAGGCCCAGCACCTAATGGGCCAACTGCCTGCTGTAAGAAGATCACCTGCACGAGCTTTTCTCCACATGGGAGGGGACTATGCCGGTCCCTTCCCCATTCTCAAATGGCGACCCACAAATGCCCAACCATCTATTGTTCATATCACAGTATTTGTGTGTTTCAGTACATCAGCAGTCCATTTAGAGCTCGTTTCCAGGCAAACAACAGAGGCTTTCATCGGAGCTTATAAGAGATTCACCGAAAGGAGAGGTATCCCCGAGGTTATGTACAGCAACAACGCCACTACGTTCGTTGGAGCCTCAGGAGTACTCAACAAGCTGTACAATCAAGAGTCCAGAGAGAATCAACAGATCCAAGCTGCCCTCGCCACAAATGGGACTCAATGGAACTTCTCACCACCGAGAGCACCCCATTTCGGAGGAAAGTGGGAAGCAGCTGTTAAATCTACTAAGTATCACCTCAAAGGAGTACTTGGGCCGTCGACATTCACCTACGAGGAACTCAACAGTATCCTGACCCAGATAGAGGCCTGCTTAAACTCCAAGTCAATCACGCCAACGCACAGCAATTATGGAATACCATCAGGTATTGTAGTTGCACAGATTGTTCACCGAGGGTTTCCCCAACGGCCGTAAGGGAACCTTCAACGAGCAGCTGATCGAGCATCACCAAAAGTTCAGGGACCAGAAAGTATGCAAATTCAATGCAATCAAATGCATACAAAATTCAGAGGCTATCTCCACAGATGATCAATGTTAATGTTTTGTCTGTGTCAACTGCGAGACACAGGAAAAACCAGAAATCAAGAAAGCATCAGAATTCCCAGAAGCCTCTCCAGCATCCTATCTACCGCAGAACAGGCCCTGGGAGATATCATCAATCCGAGCTGTGAGTCGTATTAAATGACTTCAGCCCTAAATTATCAACAGTACATCAGCAATCAGCCCTAAATTATCACCAGTACACGAACAATCAGGAGAAGAAATCTATCGAACAATCAGGAGAAGAAAACTATCGAGAAGACGATCCAGAGCCAATCAACGAGTAACCAGCAAAGTAAGCAGCGGAGAAATTCAACGCACAATTCATCATCCCGATGATGAATGGCCCCCGGGATGTTTGAAATTCAGCTATTCAAACTAGTCAAACGGTCACCGGGCTCAACGAAAATCTCGAGAAACTTCGGGACCCTTCGGGGTCACATTCAGCTACCAAGAAAATCCCCGAAAAAGTCAGTAGTATCGCTCTAGCCACCGAGAGAGTCACTCTAATCACAGTACTGTATCGCCGTAACCGCTCAATCGAGTACATCACCGGAGTACATCAACGCGATACATTTGAGTCTAGCGCTTTGTATAGCGTCTCTATTTAATTCAATTCAATTATCAATTAATTCCGAGTTAACTATCAATTATTTTGAGTCAATCATCAAGTTCAATATCGAGAGAATCTCAAGTGCAGTGCATTTTTCAAACCATCATTTTTATTGACTTTGTCGAGCAACTCAATAGTGTAACATTATTAATTTATTAAGACGCGTGGGTTATTCCACAATAAAGTACGTCAACAGTGTGGTTTTATAATTCCGCGTGTTTTAATTTTCCACCTCCTTTCACAATCCCACTTTTCCCCCCACCCGGCATCTCAATTTAGCTTCAATCTCAAACATGCTCTTAACAAAAATTTTGCTATTCTCGAAAGTTTTCGAGATATTCAATGAAAAATAAAAAATAGTCAAAATAAAATTGAAAAATTCGCTACTGAATAGTCGGCGGATAATTTCACTTATTATTGTTCAAGATCCCTTCTTTTATATCTGAAATTTTACTAATTTTAAATTTCCTTTGATGCAATTTGACAAGTCCAGGGAAATACTTTCCAATTTTTTGTTTTGTACCTTCAAAATTTTAATTTCGATGAGTTTTCATATGGTTTTCTTATAATTAAAAATCCGAATACGCGCGAAATTTACCATAAATTTGCGAAATTTATGAATATTCAAATTATAATAGTTGTTTGATAGATCAAAGCGTGGCATTGTTGTTGAAGAAATGTTGAGAACTTTAAATATTATTATTTTATCGCCTTATGATTTTCTCTATACATATATTTTGAATTTCTTATATTCTGTGAAACTAAATAGTTCTTCTCCATATAATTGATTTATATTATTTTGATAATAATTTTTTTCTTCGAGGTGTTTTTTTTAAATTTTCCTATGAAAAGAAAAAAAAATATATATAATACATATAGGGCCGGTTGCACCAAGCCCAGGTAAGAAAATCGTCGGTTAAGTCTCGGGTCAAATAAAAATAATCTGCCGATTTATTTAGATGGAAAGTTCATCCAAGATTTTTCACCGAAAAATGTGGTCAATCGATGTATCATCACTATTTCCTAGTAATACTACTAATTATGAGGTATTTTGTCGATATTCAAGACCTAATGGCTAAATCAAGGCGTTCCACGACGAATTCCAAAAATCGCCTAACCGGAGATTTAATTTAATCTGGAGATTATTTTGTTATATGAATTTATAAGTCAGAGGCGAAACTAATCGATAAGCTGACGATGTGTGACTTTTTAGAAAAAAATATTTTTGGATGAATTGAATGACACCAGCATGTATTGAATCGATGGACACTAAAATTCATAGACAAGTGTGACTCAATAATACTAATTAGTAGCTAGAATCTCAGATGTTGATTCCAAGCTTTACACGTATTATGGACCGCCACATCAACTTACAACTGAAAAAATTAGAAATACCCGAATGTCTCGAAAATTTTGTATGAATGGATACTCATATTGTAATTGATCTCGGTAGAGGGCGATAAGACGATTATTTCGAAGAAAATATTAAATTAATCAGATGAGTAGTTTGGGAGATATTAAACATGCAAAACAGTTTTTCACAAAAAGTTGAATATCTTCCAAACAAATTGTCCGACTTCGCCTACCCACAATCTCATTCTGTAATATCTCTTGGAACTCCTCACCAAATTTCAATATCCTATCTAAATTTTTTCGGGACCCTGGCGATAGTCCATACGCTGACTATGGTTTTATCCCAAAATCGAGGTCCCCATGAGTACTTAGTCGTTATTTACTAATTTTGGGGCGTACAACACGAATATGACCAGTAGCTTCCGATCCGCGTTGCTCTTGCCATTGTTATTAACAATTTAATTGTTTAAAACGTCCTAACGACATATCTATGGGAGTTACAGAAAAAATTTTCGAACAAAAGTTGTTCGTCTCTTTAAGACACACAAAATTCTTTTTTTTATTTATTCAGATAACTCAATTTTTAACGGAGTTATGATGAAAAAACCCAAACGCCGCTGGAGTTGCCACGTCGCGCGCATGGAAGAGCAGTCACTCACGGTGTTGTTACTTTCTTCTTTTCTTTAACAATGTGAAGTTCTCCGGGCTTCGTGGCTTTATGCCGTAGCTGAACTGGCCATCGTTTGTGTCACCCTGTGGTGAATGTGGGTTGTATGCAACTTCAAACCGGTGGAGAAGTTCGGTTCTTGTTGCCCTCTATGTGTGGTGTGTTGAAGCAGCAGTAGCCCGCTAGTCTTTTTTTTAAATTTAATGTCGAGTATATGCGGACGTAAATATCCCTGACCGTATATATATATATATATATATATATATATATATATATATATATATATATATAACTAATTATTCCTCACGAGTTTTATAGTGGGAAAGTCACAGATTACAAAAATAAATAAATAATTAAAACTTTGATTAGTTTATAAGTGAGGCAAGTTGAAACGTCACTTATATGTCTTTGGTATTTTGTTTTGGTTTTTATATCTGACAGACCTCTTTTATACTTAGCGAAAAGGCTAATTTTCTTATATCATACGGCATTGGTATCTTCTTAATTTGTAAGAGTCTGATGAGTTTCTCTGTGTGTGGAAGGTTAAGAGGACAGTGCCATAAGAGATGTTCCAGGTCTTGCTGGAGATGTCCACATTGGCAGCTGGGGTCCGGGAGCTTCCCTATCATGTGTAGGTATACGTTTGTGGTGCAGTGTCCGGATCTAATCCGATTGATAATGCCGGTGCCGCTTCTGGGGAGCTGGATTTGGGTGAACCACGGCCTCTTTTCCTTGATGTTTCTCCACTTGGCATACTCCTTGCCCTTAGATTTGAATTTTTCTCTAATCCTGTTGTTTTCCCTCTCCGTAGATGCTTCACCTGGTTTAATGAATACCTTGTGAACGTAGTTTTTGAGGTTCAATTTCTTCCCCTTGTCGCAAGCTAATTTTGCTAGTTTATCTGCCTCCTCATTTCCCTTTATCCCAATGTGGGCTGGAGTCCACACGAACTCCACTTGAAATCCGGACTTCCGGATTCTTTGTATCATTGATTTGATTTCTAATGTGAACGGGTGAGTTCTAGTTGACACTTCCGAGTGATTTAGAGCTTGAAGAGCGCTTTGTGAGTCAGAACATATTAAGATGTTATTTTTAATATTATCTTTCGCATATCTTAGCGCTTGTAACAAGGCTAGAGACTCTGCTTCGAAGATGTTGTAGAGGTTGTTTATTTGGAACCCAAAACCTTTCTTGAGCGATGGAATAACGAACGAGAAGCCTGCAAACTGTTTACCTTTCATCTTGGAACCATCCGTGAAAATATGGGTCCAGTCTGGCCATTTTCTACGGATTTTCTGTGTAAATTTTGGTATGGCTCTGTGTCGGTCACCAACCACTCCTCTTCCATTAACCAGGTCAATACTTACTGGAAAAAGTTGACATGGTAGTGGATATAAGTAGCATGGTATCGACTCATGACGGTCTAGATTGTTGAGGGCTGACTTTTCTTCCACCCAGGTCTGATAAAGAAAGGATTTGGAATATTGTGGCGTACCAGTTCTCACGTGGTTATGGAATGGCTCGAGTTTCCCTGTAACGGGGTTCCTTCTAGATAACCTGCATCTGGCGAGATATCTTTGGGTAAGATGGTCTGCCCGATTTCTTATGCTCGGCTCTTTCACTAGGTCCAAAATAATATTCGTTGGGGTCGATCGAAGGACTCCCAAAACAACTCTTAGAGCTTTGTATTGCTCCCTTTCGAGGATCAAGTGTTTGCTCTTGCTAGCCGAGAGGCTGGAATGTATAGCCCACTCGATTCTTGGTCTCACGATGCTCTTGTAGACATTTAGTGCCGTAGAAGGGTGCATACCCCATGAATGCTTTGTGAGCATTTTGAGAAGATTGGTAGCTGCTGTACTTTTCTGTTTTATATCTCTAATGAAGGGGTTCCAGGTCATCCTCTCATCGAAGATAACTTCCAGGAATTTCGCCTCTTTGGTGCTATTAATCGTTGTACCAAGTATCTCTATGGAGTGATTTTTCGGAGTTTTCTTTTTCCTGTGGAAGAGCATAAATTGTGTCTTCTCCATGGAGAGTGTTAAACCAATCGAGTTAAAATATTTGATTATATTTGTGAGTTCCTTTGTAATTTTCTCGAGACATTTGTCGTAATTGGGGTCCGATACCCATAGACTCACATGGTCAGCGTATTGGACACTGGAACAGCTCTCACTCAGATGGTGGTTGATGTCTTTGGTATAGATATTATACAGTAGGGGACTAGTAACTAAGCCCTGACCTAGTCCTTTGTGCACCATTCTGTTTCCCAAAAATTTACCATTGTGATAGAAGTTGAGATCTCTTTTTTCTAGGATTTTGGCTATTACAGAGATTATTGGGGATGGGATGCGTAGTTTCTGGAGTTGGTCCACCAGGATTTGTGGGATGACGTTATCGTACGCCCCCTGTATATCCAAAAACACGACCGCAGTAAATTCTTGCTTCGCCATTTTTCTGTATATATCCGTCATTAGGATGGAGATATTATCCTGATATGACCTACCACTCCGGAAGCCATATTGACTATTCGGTAGAATAAAATCGGTTTCTAAGTGATAATTTAGTCTTGTTTTAATACATCTTTCTACAATCTTTAGGACGCATGGAGCTAATGATATTGGCCGGAACCCTTTGTTCCCTGGCTTGGGGATGAGACAAACATCAAATTTATTTCAGTCTTTGGGGAAGGTTCCAATTTCCAATACCTTGTTCATCAACTTGGTCAGGATTTGTAGAGTTGATTCTGGAAGGTGGGAGATCATCGCGTTGGAGATACCGTCTCTTCCTGAGGCTGATTTGATTTTCAGTTTTTTGATTATTTCCTGTACTTCTTGGATTTCTATGGGGATCCAAACGTTATTGATGTTAGTAACTCTCTCTGAGTCGACATAGATTGGGATTTCAGCTGAAGGAGGGGCTAGCTTGAGTATTCAGTGTTCAGGTGTTCAATAGATTCTTTAGTAGGAGCAAGCCACTCATTAGAGATCACATTATTAAAGTGTTTAATGGTATTGAAGATGTCCTTATAGCTGGACGATGGATCTAGGGAGTTAGCGAAGTCGGTGTACGATTTCCTCCGTTCCTCTTTCAGTATTAGCTTAGTTTCTTTCTCAATTGTTTGGTACTCATCGTGATTTCTATCCGTCATGTCCTTCTTGAATCTCAGCCAAGCTTTTCTCCTTTTCTCCACTGCGGAATCGCAAACAGGGTTCCACCAGATTTTAGAGATATTAGGTGAGGTCTTGTACACGCTTTCGGTCGCTGAGGCTTTAGCTCCGGCCATTATGACCTTATCGGTAATCGTATCCGTGAGTTTCTCCAAAGTTTTAATGTGTCCCTCCGTATTGAGAATGTCACTCAAACCGGTCTCTTCCTCCTTCATCAATTTTTGGTATCTATTCCAATCTGTTTTTCTCGTTTGTATGGTCGGTCTTCTTCTGATTTCCTTTGGTTGAGTATCGAAGATATTAATCCTTATGACCTTGTGGTCACTACCGAGTAAGTTCTCTGAGGCCCTCCAGTTTGAGACTAGAGCCAAGTCCAAGTCCATAATGGTTACGTCTGGAACGCTCTCTATCACGTGCTTCCGAACAAAAGTACTCGATCCGTCATTGATAACTATGAGGTCTTCTTCTGCTAATGCGTCAAAGAGGTTTAACCCAGACGGATTATGTTTGCGGCTTCCCCATGACTGGTGCTGAGTATTCAAATCTCCAGCTATGATTACGTGTTTGGATCCCGCTATTTTTTTAATTTCCTCCAGAAGTTTATTCCAAGTGTCTGTCGTTGTGTTATACTCGGGGGGTCGGTACAAGCTGAAAATAACTAAATCCTTATCTCCTTCTAGTTCTATTATGCCCGCACAAGAATCTAATTCTTCCTCGTTAAATACTTTATGGGAGAGTTGAATCTTAGTAATCGTAATGTCGTTTCTTGTGGCTACTCCGCCTCCTGAGTTTCCTCGGTCTGCTCGTATCACCTTTGTGAATCCTGGGATTCTGATATTGTTATGGTTTTTTAATTTGGTTTCAGATATAGCGAGAATATCGGTTTCTTCTAGTAAGATTGGGTAGTGTATTTTCTTGTTTCCGATACCTCTACAGTTCCATTGAGTGATTGCGATTTTTTTCGATTTTTTCTTACTATCTCTCTTTCCTTTCATGAAATGTAGAGGAATACGTTTGGATGATTTATATACAATCTGTCAGATGACCGTGACTCGAATGTGATTCAGGGTCAAGGTCACGGCCGTTTCCGGCTTCTGACATTAGTGGATTTTGGTTTGTGATAAATTGATTGGGTAATGTAGTTGTTAATGGGATTTGTGAGTAATAAGTCAAGACATCTTCTTCTGAGTTATTCTCCCTAGTTGGTAGGTTGTTGAGTTCTTGCGGTAGACTCGTGGAGAGTTCCATAAGATCCTCAGTCTCTTCAGGTGAGTACTCTTTTTCCAATTCAACCACTTCCTCTGGGACAATGATGGTTGGAATGTTCCCTTCCTTCTGTGTGGGTCCTTTTTTCTCTTTTTCCGTCGTTGTGTTAGTTTGAGTTGGTGTTTTCCTCATTTTACGCTTGGTGATCTTTGCAGGTGTCTTGTAGGATGAAGATTTCTGAGTTTCCAAGGGGGGAAACTCGTGATCTGATTTGGACATTTGGGGAGCTACGTAGTCCCATATGGACAAGTTGTAATTATCCTCCATGTCCTCTTTCCACCTTCTTGTAGGTAGATCCAGTTCATTGTTTGATCCAGGGAATTCAATTTATATTTCTTGATAATGTCCTTCGCTTTACCCCACCCGACATTCATGAAGGACATTACTTTATTTTGTAGTTTAGCTTTAATTAGAAATTCACATTCATCATCAGAAGCCATGTGTGAGCCTTTGCAATTAGCACATGTTATTGTTTGGGTATCACAAGCATCACTGTGGTGGTCCCCAACGCAGAAATTGCATCGTGACTTCCCCCTTCAGAACTTTGCAAAATGCCCAGTTCTGAAACAATTATTGCAAAATTTGAGTTTGGGTTCGAATGGTTTCACATTAACAGATGCCTCAAATATCTTGATTTTTCTTGGGAGTCTGTTTCCCTCGAAAGTAATTTTAATGGTTCTGGTTGGTATCAGTTGGTCCTTTCAACCTTCTTTGCTCTTCCTCATAAATCTTTCCATCCTCAATATCCTAGTCGGTTGGCTACCCCAACTATACCCTTCTCTTATTTGTTCTTCTGTTAAGTTTTCCGGAATATCCTTGAGAATACCAGTACGAGAGACCCTGTGATCAGGTATGTACGCTTGCCATTCCTCAGGAAGAATTTTTTCCTGGTAATTTATAGTACGATTTGCCTCTTGGTATGTGTCGAAAATCACTTCCACCATTTTTTGATTGACTCCTACGATGTCTTTAATTCCTTTGACCTTGCCCCTGATCTTCTGGCCCAGGTTGATCCTGTGTAGCTCCCCCAGATTAAGGTGGTCATACTTTTCTTTTGTGGTTATCACGATACTGAAGGGAGGTAAACATTTAGCTGAATACCTATTCTTTCGCTGTGGAAATTCCATCAGCTTGTTGTCCTTGGGTCTTTTTTCCACTGGTTCATATCCTCTGTCCTCTCTCTCCTGTTCGTCCAATGAATCTGATCGGGTCCTCTTAGCCTTCGCAGCTACGACCATGGGTTTATCGATTTGTGTCGACGACAAGTCCAATTTATGACTACTAGGTAAAATTCCTGTAGTGTTTACATAGCTTGAGTTAGCAGTGTCAACATTAGTATATTGTATATCTCTCTCCTGATTTGGAGCTTGTGTCTTGGGGGAAACCATCGTTTCCCTCGCCTGATATGATGTACTTATATATTATTTAAATTATTTGGTCAGGGATAAAAAATTGATAATTTACTTACTCGACATTAATTAACTAGACTTATGGTCTGTGTGGAGTGAGATCCTTCAACAAGTGGTTGTCTGGTCCCCTCGCTTTGGTTGTCGTTTGCAATAAATTTCACTTGTAATTATACTTTCGTCTCTATCAACTTTAGTGCCTTTATTCACTTTTAAATACGATTTCTGTCTTTAAAAACCTAAGTTTCTATATTTTGTATAATTGCACTGATTAAGAAGTACAAACACTCCTCAATCTGCGAGGCTTCATCGCGAGAGTCGAACGACGAGTCCAATACCATCAATACTGGTGTTGTTACTCCTCGATAACATACATCCTCGACCGTATTGTTTTGATTCTCAGAAAACTTGTGTTTTATTTTCTTTCGTAAATATACCACCTAGTTGCTTCAGTTTCTCCTGGAGTTTAGTGGTATTTAGACACGTACTCGGACCGAATCAAAATTTTTACTGATCTTGAAGTAATCTTCCTCTGAATTTAATGTGAATTTATTAAATATCCAGTGTCCTGTACGAAGAGTGGGAGTGGGGGTGGGGCGGAAACATTTCATTAGGTTCTGTCTTTTTACAATGGCAGGGATTCGTATACGATTGGCAGAGGAGGAACACGATGAGGAGAGTTCTGACGTATGTATGATCTGTGCATGTGGTGATGGAAAATTATGTAGTGGAGCTCAGGGTCGTAGGAAAATTCGAGAGGCTGCAGAACAGAGGAAGGATTCAGTTATTGAGCGGTTGGCGAATGTCACTGATGAGAATTTCCTTTATCATAGAGCTTGTTATTTAAAGTATACATTGCAGAAGAATGTCAAAAAAGCAGTGGATGCACTTGTGGAAAAGCGTTAGGGTTTAGACTGCAATGGAAATTTATCCGAATCAAATGAGAAACCTGTACCACGAAGAATAACGAGATCTCAACAGGTTTGGAATGGGAAAAATTATTGTGTTATTTGTAACAAGGAGAAATACAAGGGTATTAAAAAAACTCTTGCCCTCTCTGAATCATGAAGAGTGGAAGATTTGTTGAGAATTGCAAAATTTTTCGATGATGATGTTTTTACACGCTTATCGAAATTTCCCACGATAGAAGAGATTGTGAGAGCAGACATTCGATACCATAGAAATTGCATGAGGGTGTACGAACAAAAATACGAGAGAAAAACTGACGAAGATCAAGGCACCTCACCAGAATTTTCTGATGCTGATGACGCTGACGGTTGTAACAATGATGATCATGATAATAGTCATGACAATATCAGCAACGATGACAATGATAATCATGATAATAGTATTGAGAATAATAATCACGACAACATCAATGGAGAATCTTTGGAAAAACCTCGATTATCTCACTATAACCCAGATTTGAAGAGAGTGGCAGTATCTCAAGGGCTTGATGAGTGGATGCCACGTTTGGAAGCCGGTGAAGCATTCACATTAACAGAAATCTGTAGTATTGTCAATGAATATCTACCCGGGGATCTTACTCTGAGGAACGATGAGGTGAAAAGATACTTGATTGAACTTTCCGGTGAAAATCTTCAGTTTTCG